TTTTGAGAGAGAGAGAGACAGAACAGCATGAGCAGGGGAGGGGCAGAGGGAGTGGGAGACCGAAAATCTTAAGCAGGCTCCACACCCAGTGAGGGGCTGGATCTCACATGGTGAGATCATGACCTCAGCCAAAATCAAGAGTCAGATGCTTAACCAACTGAGTATCATGAAACTCTTTAGATACCTCCAGGCACAAAATTCTGGGAATTTCATGGGTGGGATCCTTAAATAATGATATTGAGTAACATAAGGAACAATGTAAACAATTATTATGGGTGTTTTTAATATTACTTCTGATAGTTTAGGCATTTGTAAAGAGAGATAAGCCATCATGTGTTGTTTTCTGGTCTTACTTGAAAACAAAGGTTTGGAATAGATAATTAGCCCTTCTCTTAGCCTCTTGGAGCATTTGTTTAAATTCCTAATCAACACCACCTGGTTCTGGGTTGAGTGTATGTCTGGACCACAGATGATATTCTGTGTTCTTGACTGGAATAAGAGCCATAGGCCTTCCATATCACATGTAGAGGATAGAGGTGACTTTCCTGGAAATCAGTGTGCCTGACCTTTGTTCTCCCCCAAGGAAATGGAGATCTTCCTCAAGGAGGTGAGGTATGGGGCTCACCCCACACCTGTGGGCGGGATTAAATTTTTCTTGAGTTTTGAAGTTGCACAGGTATTTGAAATACTTGGTCCAGACCCCGGAGTTGTGCACCATAAAACATAGAAGGGACTCTTGTGGACTGGAACTTCTTAAAGGGTGGGCAGTGTTAGTGAAGGAGATCTAAGAAGTCCCTTAAACACCGCTGTCTCTTGTTTGGGCCTACCACAATGAGTAACCTGCAGAGCGCGTTCTCCTCCAGGAGGTGTGACTTAGCCTTGTCCATTGTGTTTTTTACATTTTTAGTATATTTTACTTATCCCAGTATATCCAAAAATATGATAATTTCAGCATATAAGCAACTTTGAAATTGAGATACGTTTTGCTTTTGTTTCTCCCACCTTCACAATAAATAGAGTGTGTATTGTATGCTTGTAGCACATCTCAATTCAGTTCCTCTGTCACTAGTGACATTTTAGGCGCTCCATAACCACACAAATCCAGTGACTCCCAGATTGCTCAGTGCCATTCTAGGACCTGCACTTTGGAAAACATGGGAGTTACTCTCACAGAAAGTGCTCCCTGGCTCCCTCCTGCTTGTCCATTTGAATTTTGAAGAATGTCTTCAGAATGTAATTTTGGCATTGGCGTAGTTAAGGTTGCTGACAGACTCCATTGTTTTTTTTTTTTAATGTTTATTTATTTTTGAGAGAGGGAGAACACCAGCAGGGGAGGGGCAGAGAGAGAAGGAAACCCAGAATCCCAAGCAGGCTCCAGACTCTGAGCTGTCGGCATGGATCCCGACACGGGGCTCAAACTCGTGAACCCTGAGATCGTGACCTGAGCCAAAGTTTGGACGCTTAACTGACTAAGCCACCCAGGCTCCCCCAGAGTCCATTGTTTTTTAAGGCTGACCTTGGTGATTAACAGATGTCAACTTGGCTAAGCCGGGGTCCACAAAATTGCTATATCATTTATTCTGTTGCCTCGGTATCAGTATTTCAGGATCCTGCTGCAAAAATCTTCGTAGCTGTCGTATTCTGGTGCTCCCAACAGGTTGTATGTAGTTCCACCCAAAATGAAATCTCTGCCAGCTGTGTATCTGTGAAGAGGGTATGAACAGATTTATCAAAATCTTTTAAAGAAACATGTTGGACCCATTGCCTCTAGTGTGAAGTGAGTTACTTTGTGAGGAATGATAGAAGTCCGTCTTCTAAATTTTCTCACTAGTACACCTGCAGAAGGTTCACAGTATCTTGAGTGGATACCGAGAGGCATCCTAGTCCTGCTGGATATTCATTCATTCATTGTTTGTGCCCTAGAGGCACTGGCTGGCTGGGGATACAGAAGAGTGCAACAAATCTGGTCCCTGCCTTTGTGGAGCTTATGTTCTAGTGAAAGAGGCAATAAACAAGTGTTTACAAAATAAAGTGATAACAAGTTATGATAAGTGTTTTTGAAGATAATAACTAAAGTGGTGAGGGAATGACTGGGGAGGGTCACTTTATTATGAAACATTTCAAACACGCAGAAGTAGAAGAGTATAGTGGTTTCCCCCAAGGTACCCATCACCCAGTTCAGCAATTCTCAATTCCTGGTTTAATCTTGTTTTCATCTGTTATTCCCCCTTCCATACACACCCACAGTTACTTTGAAACAAGCCTAGATAGTATATTGCCCTTGTACATTTTAGTAACCACAGTCCCATTTTCTTGCCTCAAAATGTTAACAGCAATCTCTTAATATCAAATACACAGTGTTCACATTTCCCTGCCTCATAATTGTGGGTGCTTTTCTTCTCTGTTTGCTCGAATTGGTTTGCAGACAAGGTCCATATATGTATTTTAATTGGTTGATTATTTTTAAGTCACTTTTGATCTTTTGCTTCTCAGGAAGTCACTTTTTTTGATAAGAGGGTCAGAGGAGATACTTTGATTGAAGTCCTGAGAAATAAACCAGCTAGTTGTAGGAAGAGCATCCCAGGTAAGTGGGAAGAAGTGCAAGGCAATGATGTGAGCAGGGAATGTTAAGGAAGGCCATGTAACTGATACATAGTAAGCTAGGGAGAAAATCTTTTGAGATGAGCTATCTCTCAAATCAAAAAGCCCAGAGTTTTCAAGATTCCCTCATAGTATTGCACAGTTTCTCAGAACATTATACAACTGGACTAGGTTCTTTGACTTAATGCAGAAATGCTTTTGTTTTTAGCTACATTTCTGTGACTTCAGCTTTCACTGAGGGCCACAGTTAATGCTTTATTTACTCAAGTACGTACAAAGCATGATTATGCGCTTCTGTGTTGAAGTCAAATTTTGAGATAGTTGTAGATCCACAGGTAATTGTAAGATATGATGCCAAGACGTTCTGTGTACCCCTTACCCAGTTTTCCCAAAGCTCCCAGCCATAGTCATTCCAAACTAGAGTTTTCTTGCAAAACTGTAGTGTGACACAAGAAGCAGGATATGGACATTGATGCAGTCAAAATACAAAACCATCCTGTCACCACAAGGCTCCATCCTGTCATAACCACACCCACCTCTCTTCTCCCTCTCTGGATTTTCCTTATGTTGCCTTTGTCTGGTTTTTTGGTGGCTCACTACTACTGGTCTTGTAAAATGCATTGGAAAATATTCCCTCCTCATCTGCATTCTAGAAAAGATGGTGCACAATTCGTGTGAATTCTTCAGATGTTTGGTAGAACTCTCTAGTGAAGCTGTTTTTGGTCAATCTTAGAGACATCCATTTTTTAAATTTTTTTTTTAAAGTTTATTTATTTAAGCAATCTCTGCACCCAGTGTGGGGCTCGAACTCACGACCCTGAGATTAAGAGCCGCATGCTCATCTGACTGGGCTAGCCAGGTGCCCCAAGGCTTAACCAGTTTTTTAAATTCCCCTTCCCCCAAGAACCAGCTTTGTGTTTCATTGGTTTTTCTCTATTGTTTTTGGTTTCATTGATTTCTGCTCTTATGGTTAATTTTCTTCTGCTTACTTCAGGTTTATTTTGCCCATTTTCTACTTTATTGATATTAATTATTGAGCAAATCATGCACTTTTAACATAAGGATCCCCAGTATAAAATACTTCTTTAATTCAGTGCCTGAAGAAGGTTTATCTCCAGATATCCCAAACTAATGGGTTTTCTTCTTTGTTCTGGCTACCAAGAATCTCAGCTTCCCTGTTCTAATTGGTTTCTGGTTTGATTTTTACCATTTGCTTTTATTTGTCTTGCTTTACAATGTAAACTAACCCCATTCTTTTTATTTTTTATTTTTATTTTTTTAATGTTTATTTTTAAGAGAGAGAGAGACAGAGCGCGAGTGGGGGTGGGGCAGAGAGAGACGGAGACCTATTTTCCGAAGCAGGCTCCAGGCTTCGAGCTGTCAGCACAGAGCCCGATGCAGGGCTCAAACTCACCCATGGGGAGATCATGACCTGAGCCAAAGTCGGATACTTAACCAACTGAGCCACCCATGCACCCAACCTCATTCTTTTTAAAATTAATTGTTACTTGAATTGGAAAAGAATAAATATAACTGTCTCCCTATATTAGCTGCTTCTGGCAATGGAATTCTCTCCTGTTGAAGTTTTTCTCTTGATCAGTAGGAGTTATCCACAATTCTAACCTACTCCTGGTTGATACACGCAATGTAACACACACATGCACGCGCGTGCAAATACCACCACCTCACCTACAGGATTAATTGGAGGAAATGGTGTTGCTCTGAGGTGTCACGGAGGTTATGATTTTTTAATTATAAGTTATTCTTGGTAACAACCCAAGCATGGATATTAAAACTTTCATTTTATGGTTAAGTGTAGCCCTACTCCATAATTAACTTCCTGTGGAATATTTTTTAAACAAGACATACTAATTGGAAAGAATACAGTTCGCATAAAATGGAGGCAAGGACCACATCTGTTTTATTCTCCGTGTGTCCCTGGCACTTAGCACAGTGACTGGCATATGAACATTTACTGTTTGTTGAGTGAAGTGCCAATATGGTAGATGTGGTACTGGCTTCCATAGAAGGCATCGTTATAGAACAGTAGTGTGATTCATTCCTCACATGATCTCTCTACTTTTGTTATACGTGGATTGTGACAGTCACAGGCTCTGTATCCAATTTGCATGCACATGTCCTATTCCTATACGTAATGAGACACAGGCAGCTCACTGAAATTATGGTCCGGTTACTTGTAAGTTCTTTAGGCAGGCGTTTTCATGCCATGTCTCATGTAACAATAGGTAATATTTGTATAGTACACTGGCGTAAACTGAGGCAGTAAACTGCTTCTGGAACAGGGGCTCCTCCTGGGGATCTCCCAAAGTCTGAGGGGATCAGTGACCATGTGCAGCTAGAACTCATTAACAGCATACTAGTAGGGAAGTTATACTTTTTAGGCTGTACTGTCTGTAGAAGTGTAGTATGGTGCTTTAAAATCTGTTTTTTGTTTTCGTTCCTTTCTCATTGTAGTGTGGAAATTGGCGAAAGTGTACGTGGAGAGGATGTCTACATTGTTCAGAGTGGCTGTGGTGAAATAAATGACAATCTAATGGAGCTTTTGATCATGATTAACGCCTGCAAGATCGCTTCAGCCAGCCGGGTTACCGCAGTCATCCCATGCTTTCCGTATGCCCGGCAGGACAAGAAGGATAAGGTGGGAGCAGAATCTACTTTAAAAAAATTTTTTTTGTTGTTTTAATCAGAAGAAGCACATGCCCAGAGTCACAAAAAAAACTTCCTTAATTCTCAGATACATATTTAGAGGATATTGTTGTTTTTTTTAATCACATTCTCTTAGGTATTACCCAATGTTCAAAACAATTGACATGTGATTCGTTTATATAAATCAACATCTTTGTAGTCTGTATTTCTTCGTCATACATCTGTGACTCTCAGCTCACTGTGACTTTTTAATTGTATCAAGAGGACTAAGCACCAGCTACCGTGGAGTAGAATATTTTTTAAACTGGTAGATCCTCTGGGACCCTCGTCATAAAACTTGAAGTCAGTTACATGAATACCTGGTCTCATTATACACATGCACATCTCCCTTTATTTATCTGGTATATTAGAGGTTAAGGTACATGTATAAAACTTTGCAGGTCTGTTCTAACAGTCAGTGCCCAAATTTTACGTACAATGTCTGGGAGAAAGCCAGACATTTTTATTCTGAGACTATAGTGCTCCTACAGAGTATAAAGGGCATGGGCTTTGCTAGTTTATCGTGCAGCAGGTGTGTTTATCTGTCATTTAAGGAGGTTGAAGTTGCTGGAATATTGACCTCAAGATGAGTAAGCAAGTGGTATAATTTGCACAATAAACTAGAATTTCCATTCTGTGATCTGTCTTTTAAGTTTTGACATGTTAGATGCAATACAGGTTTGTGTATGTATGTGTCAAAAGAGATTTTAATAATTCTTGTGAAAAAGATTTTTTAAGTCAGCCTAGTTTGAATAATTGAGCATTAAAACCCTTAAATAGGCTGAAAATATGTACATTAAGAAAACAAAAGGTAGGAAGGTATTTTTCTTCTCTGAAATATGTATCCTGATTTGGAAAAGTGATATTCCACTTAGTATTTGTGCTAGATTGCAATTTACTCATATAGTCAATGGCCATGGCACTTGCTATGAATTTCCTGGTAGCATGGTGCCGTAAACATAGTAGGTAAACAGTAAGCAAATGTTTCTTGAGCAAATGAATTGTTTCTCAAAATGGCTTTTTGGTTTTTTGTCCTTCTTCTTTTGTCCCCTCCATTTAGAGCCGGGCTCCAATCTCAGCCAAGCTTGTTGCAAACATGCTCTCTGTAGCAGGCGCAGATCATATTATCACCATGGACCTGCATGCCTCTCAGATTCAGGTATCTGGAAGCTAAATATTCAGCATTAGAAAGCAGGGGGTGTGGGGAGGAGAGAGCTTATAATGCTAAGAGTGCACAGAAGCAAAAACCTGCCCAAAGACAGCTTAAATAAACTAGACATCGACATCATTTTATTTTTTTTTTTAATTTTTTTTTTCAACGTTTTTTATTTATTTTTGGGACAGAGAGAAACAGAGCATGAACGGGGGAGGGGCAGAGAGAGAGGGAGACACAGCATCGGAAACAGGCTCCAGGCTCCGAGCCATCAGCCCAGAGCCTGACGCGGGGCTCGAACTCACGGACCGCGAGATCATGACCTGGCTGAAGTCGGACGCTTAACCGACTGCGCCACCCAGGCGCCCAACATCAACATCATTTTAAACATCCTCACCTTAAGCATTGTTTACCATCTCAGTCATTTGGAGTGGTTGGATAAGGGAGGTGGTCTGGAATTCTGAAAAGAACATGGACTTTGGGTTCAGACCTAGTTTGAATACTGGCTGACACTTACTGGCTTTATAACCTTGCACAGATTATTTAACTACTCTGAACACACACTGCATTGTTATTGTGAGTATTAAATTTATGGTATAAATGCCTGACTCAGGATAGGTGCTCAGTAATTGGGAACTGTTTTTGTCGTCATTAAATTTAGAGCCACAGATATCAGAATCTACTTTCTAGCATAAACACAGAGTAAGGGGAACGCAGCATTCCTTTGTATTTTGTACTGTTTAAAGGGACTTTCAAATCATCATTGGAGACTTATGGCAATCCAGTGAGGTACACAGAGTAGGTGGTTATGACCATTTTTTAAACGTGTTTTTATTATTTATTTTTGAGAGAGAGAGAATGTGCATGCACGTGAGTAGAGGGACAGAGGATCCAAAGCAGGGTCTGCACTGACTGCAGAGAGCCCAATGTAGGGGCTCAAACCCACGAACCGTGAGATCATGACCTGAGCCAAAGTCAGACACTTAACTGACTGAGCACCCAGGCGCCCCTGATTATACCCATTTTATCGAAGAGGAACAGATTTCTTGAGAAACGCAACTAATCTGTAGCAACTAGTATTAGAACAGAGATCCTTTACCAGTTACTCTCTGTGACCATTTATTATAAATACATTCCACTAAGTTTACATATCAAAGCGTCTTCTAACTGGTTTAACAGTTAGCTTTTGCTCCCTAACAGACCAGCCCAACATTTGATGGAATAAGGCAATAAGTATTACCTCATGGGTCTCCACATTGACTGGGCAGTCGCGGTATTGGTTGAACTTGGCCGTTCTTCCCAAGGGCTCTTTCATGGTCCTGTAGTCAATTGTGGGTTAGCTGAAGTCAGGCCTTGCCCCTCTTGGCCGGGACTCTCTTGGCCAGCCCAGGTTTGAGAAGCCATTTTTAATCTGCTACACTGAGCATGCCTTCTAATCAGTTTGAATGTCACAGGAAGGTATTCTTTGGGCCAGTTATTATCCTCTTTGTATTAGTCATTTATAAATCGAAGAGCACAAAAAGAAAGCAAAAGTGACTCAGCTTCTTTCTACAGGGCTTTTTTGATATCCCAGTGGATAATTTGTACGCGGAGCCAGCTGTCCTGAAATGGATCAGGGAAAACATCTCTGAGTGGAGGAACTGCACTATTGTCTCCCCCGATGCTGGTGGAGCTAAGAGGTACGGCCAAACTGTGCATTGTTCTCACAGTACTGGGGATATCTTTCAGACAGCTATGTCAGAAAGTTGACATTTTTCTAGCAAGTGACAGTTTTTAAGTTCAGTTGACCCTTGAACAGCATGGGGATTAGGGCATCGACCTCCCCACCCCCTGCCCCATGCACTCCAAAATCCGCATATAACTTTTGACCACCTCAGAACTTAACTACTTAACTAACTTAACAACAACCAGCTGTTGACCAGAAGTGTTACCAAAAACATAAACAGTCAATTAACACACTTCGTATTTTACGTGTGTTATAGATAGTATTACAACAAAGCAAGCTAGAGAAAAGAAACTGTTGTTGAGAGAATACATTTACAGCATGGTACTGCATCAAGAAAAATCTATTTATAAGTGGACCTGCACAGTTGAAACCCATGTTTTTCAAGGGTCACGTATACTTCAGAATGGGTGTATCAGTAGCTGGGACACGAGCTGGACATAGTTTTACTGACCTGAGTCACTGCCAGAAAGTGACAGAAAGACAAGGCAGCCTAGAGGGGGTCCTTAAGTAGTTGCAGTGTTGTAGGCTTGACTGAACCGCATTAGTAACTTGGCACCACAGAGCTAGCAAGCAACACCACTGTGAACCCATCCAGAAGGCTGGGAAATTGGGGTTTCCAGTGAATGGCACCAGCTATTGAACCATGTGCTATTATTGGACAAATAGGCTTTCACTCCCCTCATGATGCTGTTGGTTCGACCCGTGTTAACCCTGGCATTGAGACATTAAGCAGGAGGGAAAATAAAATATGGTAACTTTATATTTAAAACCAAGACCTTAACATTTTAAACAAACTGATTGCCAGGCATTGCCAGTTTCAGTGCTTCACAGCTCACATGGTGCCGACTAAGAGCTCTTGATTTCCTTAGTGGATCACTCATTAGTAATGCATTCAAAAATCTGACACATGTTCTTCTTGTTGTGGAAATAGAATGAAGAGGCTACAAAACACAGATGATTGGGGAAAGCTAATTCCAGTCTTTCTAAAGGCCATTTAAATCTTCAATGACTGTTTGTCCACAACCTCTTTATTTCAGTAACTCCAACAGAACTGATAAGCTGAGCACTTGAGTTCCGTTATCCAGCCAGATGTGTGGCTCTGTGAGTCTCATGTAATCGATAGTTATTATCTGTAAAAGCGACAGAGCCGAAAAAGCATCCCCCTAATGGCAGTTGTCAAACTTGTCTTAACTTGTTGGGCATTATTTTCACATCTTGCCATGGGACATAGAAAATTGTCGTGTTTGAAACAAATAATCAAGCCAAGATCTTCTTTCCAAAGTTGGGTATAGGAAAACTGCCTTTAGTAGGTGACTTATTGCCACATGACCACTCTGTGTGTGTGTTTATAATTCTCTTTCCATAGTGGAGGATTTGCTGACTGAGTAGCTATCAGTTTGGTCTTGGCAGGGTTTTTGGAGTAGGTAGAGGTCCCTGTGTGATTGTGGTTTGCACAGAGTTTTCCCCTCCATGGTGTAGGGAGTGACTTTTTCCAGCCCTTCCTGCTTTGTCAGTCACTGATTTTTTTTTTAATGTTTATTTTTGAGAGAACGTGAGAACACGAGCAGGGGAGGGGGCAGAGAAAGTGGGAGACACAAAATCCGAAGCAGTCTCTAGGCTCTGCCCTGTCAGCACAGAGCCTGATGCAGGGCTAGAACCCACGAACTGTGGGACCATGACCTGAACCAAAGTCAGAAGCTTAACTGACTGAGCCACTCAGGTGTCCCCTGTCAGTCTTTGATTTTGTTGGCCATGGAGTATGGGCAGTCTGGGATGCTTGAGCTAATTGAGCATGCATTTGTCTTGGATGAGTAAACATTCCAAGGAGATTGGTTATTCTTATGTTCTATGCCCACACAATTCTAGTAATGGGGAACACAAGGTATGGTTCATTTAGATCAGGATACATAAGCTGTTCAGGTTGTGGTTTGGATCTTGCACGTTCTCTATTATATGGTCACAGGCTCTCCCCTGTCCAGCACAAACTCCGTTATATGACCATAGGCACAATGGAAATCAGACATAATGCTCTGGTTGTATCAGTGCTGCATTAAAAAAACAAGACCTGGGACGCCAGGGTGGCTCAGTCACTTGAACGTCTGACTCTTGATTTTGGCTCAGGTCACGATCCCAGGGTTGTAGGATCAAGCCCTGTGTGGGGCTCTGTACTGAGCGTGGAGTCTGCTTAAGATTCTCTCTCTCTCTAAAATGAAAAAATAAAAACAAGACCCAAACCACAGGCTTCTTCATGCACGATGATGGCACAGTGGAGCATGGACCTACATGTTACTGGAACAGCGTGCTGTCATTTACATGGGATGGATTTCTGTCTGAGTGAATTCTGTGGTACTTTGTCATCAAAGATTTGTCTTCTGTGTCACTTTCTAGTTTGGTTTATGTTATTTTGTAATAGAAAAATAAGACATTTTGATTTGTTGGCAATCCTTCGGGGTGTCCAAGCAAGATGTCCCATTTTCCTGATTAATTGGTACAGTGTTCCTTGTAGTGCTCCTAAAAGGAACATCCAAGCTCAGTGCCCATGTACAGTTGACACTGACAGTTGGTGGATCACTGGGGGTAAGCACGTGAGCGCACAGGCACTGGAATGGGCTGGGGACTTACTCCTCTCCTGTCAGAGGCTCAGGTTCACTTCTCATCACATCCGTGCATCCAGTTGGGACAGTCTGTGCACCCCCGGCATTAGCTAAAGGAAGTCTTCTTTCTCTTCCCTTCTGCTGCCAGTCTATTAAATGAATGTGCCTTAGCATCCTGCTGCTTCCCAGGACCGGTGAGGCATCTGGCTCTCCCCTGCTGTAAACCAGAATTAATTATAATTGAAGTCTGACTAATCTCAGGATACAGATGCATTAGTCTCTAAAACATGCTTTGTGACGTTTGCCTTTGAGAAGCCAGTCAAGCAGAGTTGTTTTCTTCCAGCCCCAGGAACAGTTTGGTTTCGAAGAGTGGTCTCCCTGAAAAACAAACCCACTGTTTAGTCCCTGTGTTGGCATCTTTAGGAGACACACACACACACACACACACACACACACACACACACTGTTTGAACTGTGAACGCGCCGCTGTCTTGCAGAGTGACCTCCATCGCAGACCGGTTGAATGTGGACTTCGCTCTGATTCACAAAGAACGGAAGAAGGCCAATGAAGTAGACCGCATGGTGCTGGTGGGAGATGTGAAGGATCGGGTGGCCATCCTGGTAGATGACATGGCCGACACCTGTGGCACAATCTGCCATGCGGCTGACAAGTGAGTGCCAAGAGGTGGTGGGGCCAGTGGTTAGAAGTGAAAAGCTAACTGCTTGCTATCTGCAGGTGAATTGAGGGAGATGAGAACTATCTTTGGGAGTTTTTATTACCCTAGGCTTGAATTGCAATATGCATCAATTGATGAATATTTTATTTTTCCTCCAGATTCACTTAGTTATTTTTTTCTTACTGTGCTCAACTATATAAAACATAAATTTGCCACTTTGACCATTAAGTGTACAATTCAGTGGCGTTAGATACATTCGCAGTATGTGCAACTATCACTGCTGTATTTCCAAAATGTTATCACTCTGAATACTCTACTTTTGATAGTTGTTTTTAAAATTTTTTTTAATGTTTTATTTATTTTTGAGAGAGAGAGACAGAGACAGAATCTGAAGCAAGCTCCAGGCTCTGAGCTGTCAGCACAGAGCCCGACGCAGGGCTCAAACTCACGAACTGCGAGATCATGACCTGAGCCCAAGTCGGATGCTTAACTGATTGAGCCACCCAGGCACCCCCTTGATAGTTTTTTTTTTAATTTTTTTTTAACGTTTATTTATTTTTGAGACAGAGAGAGACAGAGCATGAATGGGGGAGGGTCAGAGAGAGAGGGAGACACAGAATCTGAAACAGGCTCCAGGCTCTGAGCTGTCAGCACAGAGCCTGACTCAGGGCTCGAACTCACAGACCGCAAGATCATGACCTGAGCCGAAGTCAGACGCTTAACCGACTGAGCCACCCAGGTGCCCCGATAGTTTTTTTTTTTTAAGAAACAAATTAAGGTAGAAATGTATAGGCCTGAACAGACAGGACTATACAGTTGGCCCTTGAACACAGATTTCAACTGTGTGAGTCCACTTATTGTGCTTTTTTTTGGTAAATACAGTAGAGGACTATAAATGTATTTTCTCTTCCTTATGATTTTCTTAATAACATTTTCTTTTCTCTAGCCTATTTTATTGTAAAAATACAGCATATGGGGCGCCTGTTGGGTAAGTGTCTGTCTTTGGCTCGGGTCATGATCTCATGGTTCATGAATCTAAGCCCTGCATCAGGCTCTGTGCTGACAGTGTGGAGCCTGCTTGGGATTCTCTCTCCCTCTCTCTCTGCCCCTCCCCCACTTGTGCACTTGCTCTCTCTCTAAATAAATAAAACTAAATAAAATAAAAATAAAGCATATACTATAACATGCAGAATATGTCTGAATGGACTTTATGTTATCGATGAGGCTTCTGGTCAGCAGGAGGGTATTAGTTATGATTTGGGTGAGTCAAAAGTTGTGCTCAGATTTTCAACTATGGGGGTGGGTGGTTGACACCCCTAACCCCCATGTTGTTCCAGGGTATATAGTATTTTCCTATTTATATTTTACCTAAGCCAGAAACCCTGGTCCTACCTCTTGACTGTCCATTTTAGTTGCTACCACCTTCATTCATGTTATTTCTCCTCTCTTGCCTGCACTGTTCTAAACTGCCTTCACTCTGTTCTCTCTGCTGCTGGTAATCAATCTCTTACCTCCCCAGTCTGTCTTCTCTCACACTGCCTCCCCTCTTGCGAATCTGTCTAAAACTAAGGCTAGATACCATCACTCCTCTCCTTTAAAACCTTAAGTGGCTCCCCATTGCTTATAATCCACATTACTGTGGACAGCATAGTTTTTCGTGATTTTTCCTTAACCTCTGGGTGTCTGTGCCAGGCACAGGCCCTGGCATATAATAGGGGCTAAGAAAATATTTGTGTGCTGAATGAGTGCTGATTTGGATCCTGGAGTATACATTTATAAAACTCATTTCGTCCTTGTATTATTAAGGTAATGCTAATTGCTGTAACAGATCAACTCCCTGAAATGTCAGTTGGTTAATGCGATAGTTCTTGTTTGTGGTTTAACTCCAGTGCAAGTATTCCTCTTTTGGTTTTGTAGTGCCACATCTTTAACATAAGGCTTCCAAGATTACCTTGGAAGACATTTCCATTTTGGCCAGCCAGAAAGGGAGAAAAGAGCATGGAGAATCACCCGTGGAAGATTTTTTTAAATATCTTTTTTTAATTTTTATTTATTTTTGAGAGAGAGAAAGAGAGCATGAGTGGGGGAGGGCCAGAGAGAGAGGGAGACACAGAATCTGAAGCAGGCTCCAGGCTCTGAGCTGTCAGCATAGGGCCCAATGCGGGGCTCGAACCGTGAGATCATGACCTGAGCTGAAGTTGGATGCTTAACCGACTGAGCCAGGCAGGCACCCCACCCATGGAAGATTTTTATAAGCCCAACCAGTTGTGTACGTTGTATCTGCCCACATTCTGATAGCTAGAATTAAGGCATATGGTCACTCCTAACTATGCAAGAGATACTGGGAAAGGTAGTCCAGCCGTGTGCCCAGGAAAAAAAGGAGATGGATTTCCTTGAGCATAGCAGTCTGTACCAGTCTCACTATGTTAATCCAAACCTATTCAGATCAGTTCTTAGTCCATATATTTGTCTTTGCTGTGAACCGAATTGTGTCTCTCCTAAAATTCATATGTTGTGGTTCTAGGCCCCCTAGTGCGATGATATTTGGAGATGGGGCCTTCGGGAGGTCACTAGGTTTAGATGAGGTCACGAGGGTGGGACCGTCTCATGATGGGAATAGTGCTCTTGTGAGCAGAGACACCAGAGAGCTGATTACCCCATGCATATGTGCACACAGAGGTCACATGAGTGCACAATGAGACAGCGGCTGCCAACAAGCCACAGGGAGAGGCCTCAGGATGAAGGTCACCCTGTCACCACATTAATCTTAGGGTTCCCGGCCTCCAGGACTGTGAAATAAAGTTCTGTCTTTGAAGGCACACAGTCTGTGGTATTTTGCTATGGCAGCCCAAGCTGACTAATACACTCCTCTCCCCGAACTCAGGTCCTGTGGTGACAGGTGAGATTAATCCAAAGCATCTCTGCTTCTTCCTCTAGACTTCTCTCAGCTGGAGCCACCAGAGTTTATGCGATCTTGACTCATGGAATCTTTTCTGGCCCGGCCATTTCCCGCATTAACAATGCATGCTTTGAAGCAGTAGTCGTCACCAATACCATACCTCAGGAGGATAAGATGAAGCATTGCTCCAAAATACAGGTAAGGATGCAATTCTTGCAAAATACTCTAAGTATTTATTTAGGAGGTGGTTTCATACATTGAATTGGGTGTCTATGTTCTGAAGCCTCCCCGCTTTGCTCTTAAGGGCTCAGTCTGTCATCAGGATCTGTGGTCCAAAAGTAAGAAAACAAAATCAGGTTTAAAAGATTCAAGTTGCTAGATGTACCTCTGGAGGATGGAGTGCCAGGGATGCTACATTTCAACAGACTGTCTCAGTGATTGTGATACCCGCTCACATTTACAAGTCCTTGCTCTGCAGTATGTGTGTCTCACTATTAACTGTTGGCCCCTGCAGACATAACATGAAACCTTTGAACCAGTAGTACACCCCTTAGGATGGCAGCGTTTCTCAAAGCATGCTCTGGAAACAAAGTTCATTACCTATGGTCCTTGTTAAAATGCAGATTCCTTTGCTCCATCTGAGACGTGCACAACCAAGAGGTCCTGGGGCCACTGTTTTAATTCCCCAAGGAATTAGACACTAAAGTTCGAGTACTGTTGTATCAAAAGAACAAGGCCTTGCTTAATTAAAGTGTACAGTAGTCCATTCGCTTTCTGAAATTAATATGTAGAATTGGAGCATCCATGTCCTTCTTAAGGATTTTTTTTTCCAGCTTAAATGGGTTTTTTTTTCATTCCTAAGAATTTGTAAATGTCAACCCACCACCACCTTGGTGAGTCTGAGTGAGGGGTTTTCCTCCATTAGCACTTTGACTCTTTCCTAAGTGGTGATACTAAAAATACAACGCAGAGGAGCACCTGGTCGGCTGTCAGTTAAGCGTCTGACTCTTGATTTCAGCTCAGGTCATGATCTCACGGGTCTGTGAGTTTGAGCCCTGAGTCAGGCTCTCTGCTATCAGGAGAGCCTGCTTCAGATCCTCTATCTCCTTCTCTCTCTGCCCCTGCCTGACTCATGCTTGCTCTCCCTCTCTCTCTCAAAAACTAAACGTAAAAAAAAAAAAGGCTGCAGAATGGCTGGGTGTGGCTCCCAAAGGGAAATAGCACAGTGCAGCTGTTTTAAGAGGAAGGACCCTCACAGGTCTGCTCCTCAGTGTCTACAAAAGGGTGGGTCCTCTGTCTGGGTGTTCCTAACCTGCCGATTTTCTCACTTTCCTAGGTGATTGACATCTCAATGATCCTCGCAGAAGCCATCAGGAGAACTCACAACGGGGAGTCCGTTTCCTACCTGTTCAGCCATGTCCCTTTATAATAGAATTACTGCTGAGGCTTTTTACAAATAAAGTGAACCCCGCTCCTTGTTCTCCCTTGGCATTTGATGAAAAATCCAGCAGAAAACCCAGCTTGCTCCAGTGTAGCTTTCCACACCCCACATCAAGTATATTAGCGTTTCTCCTAAATTAGAGAAAGACGGATTGAGACTCACTGCTGGGATTTCCTTCCTCCGTTGTCTCATTCCGGCTTCTTGGATTCTGTGAGCCTCGCAGCTTTGCAGCTTTAACCACAGCCGAACTGCTGCAAGATTGCAGGCTTGAGAGGGTGTTGTGTTGTAGGGGTGTTTGAAGTTGATGAGGGAAGCTCAGACTACTTTGCATGTGAATTCTTCAGGGTTTCCTTGGTTCCGAACCACTGGTGACAAAGCCGAACCACTGGTGACAAAGCCGACCCAGTTCCTATCCCCCAACCCCCAACCTGTGAAAAGCTCTCAAAAGTCTATGCTAAATTACAGCAGGAACCCTAGGCAGCCCCAACCCAGCTCTGGTTGCTGAGTCCTGTAAAGCAGGAGCCAGCGGGCAGCTCTCTGGTTGGCGGGGGTGGGGGGGTGCGCTGAGGGGTGGCAGCACACAGGGCAGTGAATGCTTCTTGGGAGGAAATAGCCTGATCCTTCACCCCCTGCTTGGGGACTGTGTCCCTTGGATTCTCCTTTGTACCTGTTCCTTTACATTTGACTTGACATTCAGCCATCTTGCCCTTTCCCTGGCCAAAAAACCCTCTCAGGCCCAAATGTTCCTTGTACTACAGTCTTCTGGAAAGCAAACTTACCCCCTGCTACGTGATCTCTAACATTTACATGGGATTGTTTCTGCTGTAGCTTAATCTTCCTGAGCCCGCTACCACCCTGGTAGTAGGTTTTAGGTGGGGTCGTAGTGCCTTTAGATTAATTTAAATATCTCATTTTCATCTTCCTCCCATTGATTTGGCCTCTCCAGTGACCTGAGATTTCTGTTAAAAAGGTTGATGTTACTGTTTACTGTCTCTTGTAGAGGAAACTAATAAAGTGTCTTTGTGTGATTGTGGATCTGTATCATATCTGTACCGGTCTTTCTGCCAAAGGTTTGGTCTAGGTGTCTTACGGCCCAGTGATCACTCTTCTGTGCTTCCAGACTGTCAGTTGCATTGTTAAGCCAAGAGAAGACCTTGGCCGCAGTTTTATCCAACCTTCAGACCTTAAGATGTCTGGGGTGTGCTAAGAACTAGATACAACGTGGGAGAGAGGGAAGATGGCGGCGTAGGAGGACGCTGGGCTCACCGCGCGTCCTGCTGATCACTTAGATTCCACCTACACCTGCCTAAATAACCCAGAAAACCACCAGAGGATTAGCAGAACGGAGTCGCTGGAGCCAAGCGCAGACGAGAGGCACACGGAAGAGGGTAGGAAGGGCGGCGAGGCGGTGCGCGCTCCACGGACTGGCGGGAGGGAGCCGGGGCGGAGGGGCGGCTCGCCGGCCAAACAGAGCCGCCGAGTCTGGCTTGCAAAAAGTGGAGGGGCCTGACGGACTGTGTTCCGACAGCAAGCGCGACTTAGCGGCTGGGAGGTCATAAGTTAACAGCTCTGCTCAGAAAGCGGGAAGGCTGGAGGACAAAGGGAAGGAGAGCTGCTGAGCCCCCGGACCACAGAGCTCAGTTTGGTGGGGAACAAAGGCACTCGCCAGCGCCATCTCCCCCGCCCATCCCCCAGCCAAAATCCCAAAGAGAACCAGTTCCTGCCAGGGAACTTGCTCACTCCGGGCAAACACCCAACTCTGCGCTTCTGCGGAGCCAAACCTCCGGCAGCGGATCTGACTCCCTCCTGCTGCCACAGGGCCCCTCCTGAAGTGGATCACCTAAGGAGAAACAAGCTAAGCCTGCCCCTCCTGCCCCTGTGCACCTTGCCTACCCACCCCAGCTAAGACGCCAGATCCCCAGCATCACAAGCCTGGCAGTGTGCAAGTAGCCCAGACAGGCCACCCCACCCCACAGTGAATCCCACCCCTAGGAGAGGGGAAGAGAAGGCACACACCAGTCTGACTGTGGCCCCAGCGGTGGGCTGGGGGCAGACATCAGGTCTGACTGCGGCTCCGCCCACCAACTCCAGCTATACACCACAGCACAGGGGAAGTGCCCTGCAGGTCCTCACCACGCCAGGGACTATCCAAAATGACCAAGCGGAAGAATTCCCCTCAGAAGAATCTCCAGGAAATAACAACAGCTAATGAGCTGATCAAAAAGGATTTAAATAATATAACAGAAAGTGAATTTAGAATAATAGTCATAAAATTAATCGCTGGGCTTGAAAACAGTATAGCTGACAGCAGAGAATCTCTTGCTACAGAGATCAAGGGACTAAGGAACAGTCACGAGGAGCTGAAAAACGCTTTAAACGAAATGCATAACAAAATGGAAACCACCACGGCTCGGATTGAAGAGGCAGAGGAGAGAATAGGTGAACTAGAAGATAAAGTTATGGAAAAAGAGGAAGCTGAGAAAAAGATAAAAAAATCCAGGAGTATGAGGGGAAAATTAGAGAACTAAGTGATACACTAAAAAGAAATAATCTACGCATAATTGGTATCCCAGAGGAGGAAGAGAGAGGGAAAGGTGCTGAAGGGGTACTTGAAGAAATAATAGCTGAGAACTTCCCTGAAGTGGGGAAGGAAAAAGGCATTGAAATCCAAGAGGCACAGAGAACTCCCTTCAGACGTAACTTGAATCGATCTTCTGCATGACATATCATAGTGAAACTGGCAAAATACAAGGATAAAGAGAAAATTCTGAAAGCAGCAAGGGGTAAACGTGCCCTCACATATAAAGGGAGACCTATAAGACTCGTGACTGATCTCTCTTTTGAAACTTGGCAGGCCAGAAAGAATTGGCACGAGATTTTCAGGGTGCTAGACAGAAAAAATATGCAGCCGAGAATCCTTTATCCAGCAAGTCTGTCATTTAGAATAGAAGGAGAGATAAAGGTCTTCCCAAACAAACAAAAACTGAAGGAATTTGTCACCACTAAACCAGCCCTCCAAGAGATCCTAAGGGGGACCCTGTGAGACAAAGTACCAGAGACATCACTACAAGCATAAAACATACAGACATCACAATGACTCTAAACCCATATCTTTCTATAATAACACTGAATGTAAATGGATTAAATGCGCCAACCAAAAGACATAGGGTATCAGAATGGATAAAAAAACAAGACCCATCTATTTGCTGTCTACAAGAGACTCATTTTAGACCTGAGGACACCTTTAGATTGAGAGTGAGGGGATGGAGAACTATTGATCATGCTACTGGAAGCCAAAAGAAAGCTGGAGTAGCCATACATATATCAGACAAACTAGACTTTAAAGGCTGTAACAAGAGATGAAGAGGGACATTATATAATAGTGACAGGGTCTATCCATCAGGAAGAGCTAACAGTTATAAATGTCTATGCGCCGAATACTGGAGCGCCCAAATATATAAAACAATTACTCATAAACATAAGCAACCTTATTGATAAGAATGTGGTAATTGCAGGGGACTTTACCACCCCACTTACAGAAATGGATAGATCATCTAGACACACGGTCAATAAAGAAACAAGGGCCCTGAATGAGACATTGGGTCCGATGGACTTCACAGATCTATTTAGAACTCTGCATCCCAAAGCAACAGAATATACTTTCTTCTCGAGTGCACATGGAACATTCTCCAAGATAGATCATATACTGGGTCACAAAACAGCCCTTCATAAGTTTACAAGAATTGAAATCATACCATGCATACTTTCAGACCACAATGCTATGAAGCTTGAAATCAACCACAGAAAAAAGTCTGGAAAACCTCCAAAAGCATGGAGGTTAAAGAACACCCGACTAACGAATGAGTGGGTCAACCAGGCAATTAGAGAAGAAATTAAAAAATATATGGAAACAAACGAAAATGAAAATACAACAATCCAAACGCTTTGAGACGCAGCGAAGGCAGTCCTGAGAGGAAAATACATTGCAATCCAGGCCTATCTCCAGAAACAAGAAAAATCCCAAATACAAAATCTAACAGCACACCTAAAGGAAATAGAAGCAGAACAGCAAAGGCAGCCTAAACCCAGCAGCAGAAGAGAAATAATAAAGATCAGAGCAGAAATAAACAATATAGAATCTAAAAAAACTGTAGAGCAGATCAACGAAACCAAGAGTTGGTTTTTTGAAAAAATAAACAAAATTGACAAACCTCTAGCCAGGCTTCTCAAAAAGAAAAGGGAGATGACCCAAATAGGTAAAATCATGAATGAAAATGGAATGATGACAACCAATCCCTCAGAGATACAAACAATTATCAGGGAATACTATGAAAAATTATATGCCAACAAATTGGACAACCTGGAAGAAATGGACAAATTCCTGAACACCCACACTCTTCCAAAACTCAATCAGGAGGAAATAGAAAGCTTGAACAGACCCATCACCAGCGAAGAAATTGAATCGGTTATCAAAAATCTCCCAACAAATAAGAGTCCAGGACCAGATGGCTTCCCACGGGAGTTCTACCAGACGTTTAAAGCAGAGATAATACCTATCCTTCTCAAGCTATTCCAAGAAATAGAAAGGGAAGGAAAACTTCCAGACTCATTCTAGGAAGCCAGTATTACTTTGATTCCTAAACCAGACAGAGACCCAGTAAAAAAAGAGAACTACAGGCCAATATCCCTGATGAATATGGATGCAAAAATTCTCAAGAAGATACTAGCAAATCGAATTCAACGGCATATAAAAAGAATTATTCACCATGATCAAGTGGGATTCACTCCTGGGATGCAGGGCTGGTTCAACATTCGCAAATCAATCAACGTGATACATCACATTAACAAAAAAAAGAGAAAAACCATATGATCCTGTCAATCGATGCAGAAAAGGCCTTTGACAAAATCCAGCACCCTTTCTTAATAAAACCCCTTGAGAAAGTCGGGATAGAAGGAACGTACTTAAAGATCATAAAAGCCATTTATGAAAAGCCCACAGCTAACATCATCCTCAACGGGGAAAAAGAGCTTTTTCCCTGAGATCAGGAACACGACAGGGATGCCCACTCTCACCGCTGTTGTTTAACATAGTGCTGGAAGTTCTAGCATCAGCAATCAGACAACAAAAGGAAATCAAAGGCATCCAAATGGGCAAAGATGAAGTCAAGCTTTCGCTTTTTGCAGATGACATGATATTATACATGGAAAATCCGATACACTCCACCAAAAGTCTGCTAGAACTGATACATGAATTCAGCAAAGTTGCAGGATACAAAATCAATGTACAGAAATGAGTTGCGTTCTTATACACTAACAATGAAGCAACAGAAAGACAGATAAAGAAACTGATCCCATTCACAATTGCACCAAGAAGCATAAAATACCTAGGAATAAATCTAACCAAAGATGTAAAGGATCTGTATGCTGAAAACTATAGAAAGCTTATGAAGGTAATTGAAGAAGATTTAAAGAAATGGAAAGACATTCCCTGCTCATGGATTGGAAGAATAAATATTGTCAAAATGTCAATACTACCCAAAGCTATCTACACATTCAATGCAATCCCAATCAAAATTGCACCAGCATTCTTCTCGAAACTAGAACAAGCAATCCTAAAATTCATATGGAACCACAAAAGGCCCCGAATAGCCAAAGTAATGTTGAAGAAGAAGACCAAAGCAGGAGGCATCACAATCCCAGACTTCAGCCTCTACTACAAAGCTGTCATCATCAAGACAGCATGGTATTGGCACAAAAACAGACACATAGACCAATGGAATAGAATAGAAACCCCAGAACTAGACCCACAAACGTATGGCCAACTAATCTTTGACAACGCAGGAAAGAACATCCAATGGAAAAAAGACAGTCTCTTTAACAAATGGTGCTGGGAGAACTGGACAGCAACATGCAGAAGGTTGAAACTAGACCACTTTCTCACACCATTCACAAAAATAAACTCAAAATGGATAAAGGACCTGAATGTGAGACAGGAAACCATCAAAACCCTAGAGGAGAAAGCAGGAAAAGACC